CAAACCAAACCAATGAATCTTTTCTTTGCTAATGTTCATTAATATTTGTTTTCTTATGATTTTTTTTCTTTCTTTATATGCCACCATTAATTACAAAGATAAGAAAATGATTGGGAGGAAACTAAATGATAGTGTGTTAGAAATGCAAAATGATTCAAAATATTAATGTAATGTTAAGGATGACTGGGTAACAAATGGTACATTTGCCAGTATGCTTGACCTGGCACAATTAATATTCCAGGTCATGCTTGGGTTTTCATGATGGAAGGTCTGAGGCAGAGAATTCTAGGGGAAAAAATATATCTATTGTATAACTCATTTCTCTCTCCCCCCTTTTTTTTTTTTTATTTTCCCTGACGAGTCAGAACCATAGTCTTAAAAAAAAAAAGAAAATCTGTGCTTTCACACCTCATTTGCCATACTCACCACTGGGCCACCATTTACCAGAAGGGCCTGATGCAAGGAGGTCAGTAAGAAGCTATTAGCAGAGTCCCCTCCTGAGATTTCTTTGGTCTTATTGAGGTGGAAGTTAGCATGACAGTACTGCAAATAACTCAGTTGTCAGTTTTTAAACAGTTAGCACAGATTTCCCCATAGTGTTTGTCACTTTAGAAAATTGTTCCTGGAAATGAAGTCCCAGGAAGCTGGCTTTGACAGAGGCCCTTCTTAGTTGTGAAGAACATGGGCATAGAAAAATGTGTCGTTCTCCCTGCAGACAAGAGGCACTTTTTGTAACCTAAGTTTTTGGAGGGTAACATATTTTTTTACAAACTAGAGATGAGGAAAGTATGGGAATCAAAGTACGAGGTATTAACTCAGGACAGGTACTCTTCTACCGTTGAAAAAGCAGTATTAACTACAATGGGTTTGTAGTTGAGACAACATTGTACTAAAGTAGGGAAAAGATAAACTATCGCTTTTAACACATTGTACTGGTCTCAAGAAGATATGCAAATTTATTAAGTACCAAAAGCTTTGAACCTCCAGATTCTTAGGTTTCTTCAGACTGCCAGCTCCCTGCAGAGGACAGAGTGAATAGGGCATCCATCAGCCCTCATCACATGTGCGAGAAACTACAAAAACATGACTCTGATTTGCAGAGATATTTAAAAATGAATGGAAGCAATTTTGCCAGAGATTGGTTTGAACTACAAGGTAGAACCAAACTCATCCCCTTGTCTCTCCTGCCAAACTTTTCCAATTTTAAATCTAGGCCTAAAACCTTACCACAAACCTTGGAGAATTTAGAGTAAATTAGTATTCATTTTATCTATGTAGACACTAACTCTGCATATTTTTCTGTTATCTGTCTGTTTGAATACTTGAATATATATGATTAAAATGCAAACTAATTAACAATGATTGATTAAAAAAAAAAATTAAAATGCACTTTATAATAAATTTGGACCTAGATCTTGCAAAGAGTTTTGACTGTAGAAGAAGAAATGACTTTTAAAGTGCCCAACTAGCCTTACTAAAACTCCAAGTCAATTTTCATAGTTGGTACACTATCTGTGTGTTTAACCTGATAGTATGTAAAAAACAGCAAAAGATGGCTTTTTGTTAAGGCACCTTTTCAGCAATAATGATTCATGACACTGCATCACTGGATTCCTACACAAATTATGGCTAATTTTGGTGTCATTAAAAGTGCTAAAAGCCAATCCTGTTTGGGATACTCAGCAGCGTATCACTGTGTTTGAACACTTTATGAACTGTAGTTTTTTTCTTTTTTTTTTTTTTTTTTTTACTGCCAAACATTTGAACAAAGGAATATCAGGTAGCATATACACAGTATCTCAATATAGGTTGCAAAATGCATTTTCAGAAACCCATTATAATCATGGACCCATTTGTACTTGCTCTAAGTATGACTAACAAGAACAACGCCATTTCTTAGAACCCAGACAACATATTACTTTAAAGTTATTCTTGCCTGTAACTCTTCAGAGGAAAAATGTTTATATTATTTAAGATGTTGGGTTTTTCCACCTTGGGAAAAAAAAAAACAACCCAAACCCACAAAAAAAAAAAAAAAAAAAAAAAACAAAACCACAAAAACCCACAAAAAAAAAAAAAACAAAACCACAAAAACCCACAAAAAACCCTGTCCTATAGAGATTGACATAATCTAAATTTTTTGGTTAAAATTTCCTTCCCAATTAGCTCTCTGATTTTTTTTTCATTTTCTGTTTTCATGAAAAGCATTAAAAATAGGTGTAAATTTTGGACAGATGTAGCCCTGATCAAGATTTGCTACTGATCAAAAAATCCATGCCTGCCACCTTCGGAGAGTTGTTATTACGCTATAGTGGTTTATTCTAGATCATCCTGATTCTCAGCAATGCACACAGAGATGCTTTTCTTCCGGAAAACATTTACATTTCTAGTGACATTGTATTTTTCTATAAAATGTGTGTTTCACCGACACGTGTTGGGAGAGCAATGTCTGTCCCTCTAGCTGGGGACCTCCGCAGATGCATGGCATGGCCAGAATGCACAGTCTCCACAACAGGCAGGATACAGCAGCTGAACATAGGTGGGGTATGAATGGGTGGAAAGATGAAGTAACAATAAAATGAGCAGTTCAGTAAAACGTGAAAGAAGGTATTGACAGCCAATGGCACAAATTCATTGATCAGAGTGTAGGGAGATGCAATGGTCATGGTAGGACTAATGGGCGAAGAGCCATAGTGATCATGGCATAGACTTGGTTTGTATATCTCCAGCGTGGAATCTAATTTGGATGGAAGACCTTGACTGTGGCATTTCATATTGGAAAGAACTTGTGTAACAAGTGTATAGTGTAAATGCATTCAGTAATTGTGGAACAATGTGATAAAGCCTGAGACTTCGTACGGAACTTGTGTTTGTGTAGCATTTCCACCCAGTGTTCACAAGCAAAATGTACTTGGCTGACAGGAAAATTGCATGTGCGGAATGCTGCAAAAATAATAACAGCATTAGGAGAATCTGTAACTTGATGAGGTGTTTATGTAAGACCCAGATTTGTAGAACCAAACTTTTAAGATGCAGCTGGATTTTACAGATCATAAAGATGGAGCTGCAATTTCGCATTCACACCAGAGATTCTGCTTGCCTGCTATTCGAAGCATGGGTCCCTGCCATTTTTAGTTCAGCATCTTGGAGAGAGGAAGGAACAACCGGTGGTTGTTTGGCATACATATGCTTCCTCCACTTATCTCTATTCATGTCCTCTTTCCCATTCCACATTTAGACGGATAGTGCAGTGGAAGAGTTTATAGGGTTTGCACTAAGAGGGGAACATAGAGGGCCAAAATAAATTGTCATTAGGGCCAGATCACTTGCAGCATTGAAGAATATAGCCCATAAAATTTTGAATAACCCAACAATATTTTTGATAAGCTACTATATCCAAATATTTTTGTCCATTAAACAATAAGTTTTATATGGGCCTTATTTAACTGTTTTGACATGAGAAATTGGAACTTCCTAGTGGGATATGTTAATGAAAAATGCATTAGAGCTAATTGGGGAGTGTTCAATCTTCTCAGCCCCAAGAGATTAATACTTTATGAGGAAGCTGATGCTCTACTTAGTTTTCTCATGGGTTCTCAGTAGTGGTCCAAAGGAGAAATGCAATATTTTTAACATTTACTCTTTTCCTTATCTTTCACCACATCACAAAACTGATTTCTTTTCCCACTATTTTTAATCAATACTTCTTAGCAATTAAAATTATGATAAATGCAAAGGACATTGCATTTTAACTGAGCAAATCTACTTTAAAATTCTTAAAAATACTCTGAGTATATTGTTGTAGAAAATACTGTTATCCTTAAAGCAACTGAGTATATTTTAATTAATTTTTGCCAGGTGTATTTTAAGCATATATCATCTGTTTTATAGGTGATTTAGTGGCTTTTGTGCAATATAGTCTAGGATTTCTTGTGTTTAACAGTTCATAATTAATTCAGTCAACTCACATATGTCTGTTTAAGAATTGTTTACATACAAACGATAAAATCCCTATGTTTATAGGAATGATTTAGAACAGTCTGCCACATGATTTTGATTTGCCAGATATTCACAGATTGTTAATGATACAGATTACTAGTTCAGAATTTGAAATGTATGCTTTATATAATAATTATTGTATTAGATCACACTAGTGTTGTAATTAATTATTCTGAAAAAATTTAGTATCAAATTCAGTGAAGAATGAATCTTTCAGTTTAATTCACAATACAGAATTTATTACTCTAAATTTTGTTGTTTTTTTTTTTTCCCCACAAGTTTTATACTATTAAACCTAAACACATTTCAATAGTTATGGGAATTTAATGTGAACATTTTGTTGGAAAAAAGCGATTACTCTTTTTTGGTATTCTGTACATTTTTTTGTGTTTCCCCTTGAGTAATCACACAGTTTTACTTTTAAAATGCTGCAGTTTCCCCTGCCCTGGTCCATGTTATGAGTCAGATAGCACAGAGTTTAAAAGGATAAGAGTTATGTTTCCCTGTGTAAGCATTCATTTTGCTCTTTGAGTATGTGTTGTTCCTATTAGGTATACAATTTTAAATTAAATTTCAAACTAACTATAGTAGTTTGCCTTTAACACCAGCTGCAAATCTGTAAACTTCTAATTATCTTTAAAGGGAAAACTGGCATGTTTCTTTGACTACTGCTCTGGAGAGTGGAAGATTGAACATGACAGAAAGAAAACCTGGGTTTGACATACAGGAAGCTCTTACTTCCGTAAAATGAAAGTTACCCCCATCTGAAGTTCTGAAACCCAGGTTATACATTACATTATCCTATTGACACACTTCTGTAAATGTAATGCTGTCCCCAGATATACATTTAAACTAAAAATCTATCCCATATCAGTAATCATCACAAACTTTGTGTAGAACTGTTTATTATATAGGCTTTTCAAATTGTTTTGATATATAGAATCAATTAAAAAATGACTTTTAAGTTAGTTAAGTCAAAGATAACCCCATCTTCTGCTCAGATCGCAGGAATATACAATTCACCATTCAGAAAATCCCCAGATCCAATGGAACTGCTGCTACGAAAGTCAAAGCCATTGAGCCACAGACGGCGCCAAATGAATAGTCCCTTCACCTCTGAGCTCTATGACTGGCCAACTTGTACAAAGGCTCCAACCTTCTCGACAGCACAGCCTCTGCCACCTATTGGCAGACCGAAACCTCAGGTAATGTTTTTCAGTGTCTTTGAGACAGCTTTTGTTCATATCTTTTATCATAGATTATCACCGAATGTCTTGAGTTGGAAGGGACCCATAAGAATCATAGAGTCATAAAATTCCTTTTGTGGTTTTGTTTTTTTTATATAGATCTGGTGCTGGCATTCAGGATATAAAGCCTTTGAAACAGATTTATCTTAAAGAAAAAGAAGCTTAGGTGGTATGTAGAGATAGGGAAATATGATTCTTTAGACTTTACTTTTGTCTTTTGTGGAATAAAATACCATTTCCAATATTTCAAAGTGAAGACCAAATATAATTGAATATCAATATTATGGTTCAGTAGAGGTACAATTCTTAACTTCCAATGTTAAACAATAAAAAAGAAGGATAAATGAAAGGTAATAGGACAAATTAATGAGTTGTGATAACTTTTTCCTGGTTTTGCAATTGTTTTTCATATGAAAGCCAAGAGATATCCCCTCAGTATAAAGCAGTTCCTGCTTTTTTTTGTCCACTAGCTGTGTGTCAGATTTAATTACAAAAATTCCCACATATTGTTCTGCATCACAGTCAAGTTGTCCAGCTCCCATTCTTAACTTTCATGGTCTCAATTTTACTTTCAGTTGATACCAACATATGTTGCAGTTAGCTTTTTCCTCTTCTTTAAAGTAATGGAGATCTTTGAGATAATCCATCAGGGTGCATGTCCCACAAGATGACAGAACAGTTTTTGCAAACCTTATTATCAAAACCTGCTGGGAATATGCCTGATATAGACAGCAGTTAAATTTCTTTTTACATTGTTTACACAATGGCATGTAGCTTTTGCCAATAAATGCCTCATGCAGTTACTTTTAGGGTAGAAGTATTCTGTCTTACCCTATATTCTCAAGAATTTTTCAGTTTGCCCAATCTACTCAAACTTCTACTTACCTCACACATACACAATCAGTGCTAGTTTGACTTTGAATGACCACAATGTCTTCAGAACATCTTAAACTAGAGGGTTTTTTTGATACTCTGTCCTGTATTTAAATTTTTTCTTCTGTATTTTGCTTAGGAAAACAATGCTTCTAAATGAGTCCTTCTCAGCAACTTTCAATGAAGCTATCATTTAGCTGCAGAAATTAAACAACAATAATGAGTAATGAGCAATGTATAATATATCTTTATTGGCATTTTACTCCCCTGAATTGATATGGTTGTTTTCACTATATTATTACAGCCCTTGGTAGAGTTGATCTTAAGTGTGAACCACTGCTGGGTTCAAACCATGTGTGCACACACCCTGTGCCACAATGTGCCTGTGGCTTATTGGTGGCATCCACATTGTTCTTCAGTGGGGACAGCCGTGGGCATGCCGGCAAACTCACACAGAAGAGGCTATTCTCACTTCTATGTCATGACTAACTTGTCCGCAGCGGGACAAGTCTGTGTCAGTGTTAGGACACGAAGGCAAAGGCAGCTGGGTTAGTGCATGAGAAGATCCAGATCTGACAGAATTCCTCTGGAGAAGTAGAGGTGAGAGAGACCCATACTGCTTATAACAGTGAGGATCAGTGTCAGGGCAGTTCTCCACCTTTGTCCTTCCCTCCTGATGTTCCCTTTGTCCTTTCTCCCGATGTTCCCTACCTTAACTGCTTGAGTCTCCTCATCAAATGAACTCACTGACTTACATTAGAAATGAGACAAAGTGTGAGCTAACAAAACAGTTTGGGTGATCAGGGAGTCTGGAGTTGAGATAAATAAGACATTATAGCTCTACCTTCTGGGACCAAAGGGTCTATGACAGTCCTTCAGTGGGGTGTGACTGAATGCACTGCCTCTTGGGATAGAGGGGAAGATTTTGCTTAGTGGACATGGTACAGGAATCCTGCTTTTAAATAAAGATGGAAGTCAGAGGTTTTACATTGTTAAGTTCCTCTTGCAAGACTGCTTTACCATATATGAAGTACCTTACAAGCTTCTGTTTGGATCTGGAATATTTTATAGACCTTTCTAAGTTCAGACACACGCACAGAAGTCATGCACAGATAGCCTTTTAGAACAAACCAGAAGAGTTCTGTTTATTTTCTGCACCTCAAAGAGGGAATTTACTATATAATACTTTAATCCTTTCAGCACCCTGGGATGTACACCGTGGGGTAAATTTTCAAAGCACAGCGTGTGGATTTAGCTGCGCGACTCTTATTGATGTTAATGGGAGTCACACGGCTAAATCCCTGTACAACACTTTGACAATTTAGGGTTGTATGTCTAAGAAAAGGACGCTGGTTTGAGCTGATGAAACAGCTGGAAATGAAACCCCATCAGAACCCATCATCCTGAAAATAGTCTGGTGTGACAATAAGGAATTTAATTGCTAGATATACTTGTGTCCTAGTTCTCAGTGGTAATACTTTTTGGCACCAAGCTTCTTTTTCTAGTATCTATACAGCTCACCGTGAGTCACTTGTTACTCCACTGTTCTTTCAAGTATCTAAAATCTGTATTGCCCATAGGGTAGTAGAGTTTATATGAGAATATCAATTATATATGTTTAAAAGAACAAAAATTAACTCTCAGTTTTCCCTTAGGGAAATAGTTATTTAGAAATTTATAAGTAAACTCTGTGTAAGATGATAGTGTATTTAAAAGAAAAGTTTTAACGATGCTTATACATCAGTCAGATCTATAATTTTTATAACTGAGTTAACTAGTATTACAGTTTGATGGAAACACAGATAATGCTAAAATTAGTCATCTGTTCATTAAAAGGCATTAATAACAGAAAGCATATTGCCATTTTTAGGGGATTTTTTGCATGCTGTTAGCTGTTCTGGAATGGGGATGGTGAAAAATGCATGATTTCATGTAGATCATAATTTTTAGCAAGAGTTTCTGATTTTATGGTAAGGTAGTAAGAATGCTGATCTGCTAACCTTTATTTGGCAGACGAATCAGTGGCAAAAGATTTGTGCTACTCAGTACAAATTTCAAACATAAACTGTTCTGTGAGTTGCTTTCAGGGTGAAAAGTGTTGCTTGACTCCCTTCCTTCCTTTCCTAGCCTGACCTCCCCAGGAAGATTTTTGTTTTGAAGCCAGAAATGCTTGTAGGCACTGCCAAGTTGAAAACATTTGTGAGCACCATTCTGCCACAGATTCCACAAATTTTGAAGCCTGTCTTGTAAAATGAAAATAGTAAATGAGGTCTTACAGGTCTTGTCATCATAGGTATATGCCTTAGGTGACTATTGCTATGTAAGTTGCATCAAATACAGAGTTCAGAGGAACGGCAAAATCTGCAGGGAATGTTTAGAATTATCTTAGTATCCTAACATATATACTTTCATTAGGTCTGACACAGCCTTGCCTGAG